CATCCAGCTTTTAAGAACTGGGGCTCTTCGCTAGCAACGGTTCTGACTGAATGCGCGGCGTCCACTCCGTCAGAGACACAAACACACTGGGGGTGTGAGCTCCATAAACCCCTCCCCGCGAGAGTAAGATCGTTCAGCGACGTCCCATTTCATATCAGACCAACTCGGACTAGCCGAACCGTTCCTCATCGGATTTGATGAAAATGTCTGCCTCACAGCCAAAGAAAGGCCTCGAACCGTCCCTTCTACTCAATGTTTTCCTGCTGAAAATGAGATAATTAGGACCCTTTTTACTCAGTACTTCCAATCTATGTCTCTCAATTCTTTATTTTCCCAATAGTTATAATCATTAGAAAAGGGGAGATGAATTCTTCACCGCAAGTCGTGCCTCATGAAGCAGCGAAAACAAAGAGAAGTCGTTTCCGGCAAGAAATCTTGGTCAGGAATTCGCCCCGTGAAGTAACAACAGATCGGACCTTGAATTCACACACAACCCCTTACGAGACCCCTGTGCACCGACAAGCGAGGGGTCCCGCGATGTTACCTGTTCCCGCACCGAGTGACACGGGCCCGCCCCCGCCGCTCGGCGTCCAGAAAGGGGTTACGGCCGCGCGACCGGGATCGCGCCGGAAGCTGCGGCGGCGGCGCGCCGACGACAGGAGGGCCCGAGAGTGTGCAAGAGAGCGGCACTAGCACCCTCGGACCCGGGACAGAAACCCACAAGACACCTGCTGTCAATCGGCCAACTTCAGACAAAGGAAAAGCTATGCACCAGTAACACAGCAGGAGACCAAACGCAGGAGCCGTAGAAGGACGCCTACTTCCGCCTCCGGTTTCTAGCCGCGCGGTATCACAGAGAAGGTCTTCCGGAGGGGAACACGGCGTGCTCCAAAAGTGACTGTAGAGTAGAGTGGTTCCCCCATGTGTTTGCAATCTTGCCAAGGCTGTAATTTTTTTGTGTATAAAGAGAATTTTATCAATACGTAGATGAACTAAAACACGGATTTCAGGAATACTCGTGAGGAGCAGGAAACGTTGGTACTTGCACATTAGACCCTTTGAAAATTTTTCACCAATTTTTTTGGAGAAATATTTTCTTGGCTACGTGTGAATATTTCCAGATCTTTAGTATAGTTGAAGTGCCTGGTTTCATTTCTGTTTCAAGGTTGCTTGTCTCTGACATGTCAGGTATCTTTCCCCGGGATCAGGGCACAGACTGTGCAAAATCCAATCTGATCGCTACAAATGCTGAGGATCCGGAAGAGAGGATATTAACAGGATGAGAGGCAGGAAAATTAAGGCTGTAGGCAAAAAATTGAGGGAAGTACCTTTGAAAATAAAAATTATAAATTTTTACTTTTTTTTAATCATCTAATAAAGTGTGCTCACTGCCATCGAATCAATTCCGACTCATAACAACCCCCATTTGGTTTCCGAGGTAGTAAATCTTTAGGGAAGTAGGTCTTCCAGTCTTCCTTCCACTTAGTCCCTGGTGAGTTTAAACTGCCAGCCTTCTGGTTAGTAGTCAAATGCCTTAAGCACTATGCCACCAGAACTCCCAATTATTAATATCACAAACAAGTAAAATCTTACTGAAGATAACTCAAAAACGGTTGCAGCAGTATACTGACAGAATTTCCAGAGATGCAAGCTGAATTCAGAAGAGGATGTTGAACAAGGGATACCATTGCTGATGTCAGATGGATGTTGGCTGAAAGCAAAGAGTACCAGAAAGATGTTTATTTATGTTTTATTGACTATGCAAGAGCATTGTGGAACAGGCCATCAACTGCTCCTATGCAAATTCAACTTGAAGTTAAAGACAATTAAAACAAGTCCAAGAGAGCCAAAGTATGATCTTGAATATATCCCT